GTACAATGAAGGTGTATCTGGTTATGATTTATGGTTCTGCTAAGTTCTCGCAACAGCTGCTTCCGCCGAAACATTATGCTCTGTTCCACAATCTACAGCATTCATTATTCTAATCTCTAAGAGGTTTACTCCAGATAGAATGTTCAAACGATAATAAATGAGAGCACATATCTAAATCAACAACTAAGAAGTGGTGAGGTGACCTAAAAGTTGGGGTCTTCAACTAGCAACAGAAAGAGTCCAAACAGCCCTGAAGTATTTTGGATTAAATTACAAACCAAAAAAAGATGAGGCAGCTGGGGAAATTTTACATACAATAAAGAGGATGTAAAAATGGTGAATCCATGAAATTGCTTGTGAAATGTAAGACAGTGCTCCATGTTATGTTGTTAAATATTTATTCTAATTAAAAATATATACTGAAAACTATGAATTATATAAAGGATATTAATTACTGTTGGAGGCTAAGTACAGACGCTTCCTGGGTTACATGGTGCATGTTTGCTCCTTATGGTTTTGACTTTGGGTAAATGTTTTTCACTTTCAGTACATTATCTAATAAATAACAAGAGATAAATTAGGCTTTGTGTTAATGATTTTGCCCAACTGTAGGGTAATGTAAGTGTTCTAAGCATATTAAAGGTAGGCTAAGCTAGGATGTTTGTTAGGTTACGTGTACTGTATTAAAATTCATTTTCACCTTACGATAGGTTTGTTGGAACTAACACCATCGTAAACCGGGGAGAGGCTGTATACCTTTCTATCACAAAACCAAGAGCTAAAAGTTTCCAAAAATCTCCTAAAAACATTTGACAGACCTTTTGAAACCTTTTGAAGCCGTACCACCTGTAGTTCAGACTAGAGGTAATCCACCTTAGGTTAAGCAGGTTTGAGCCTGGCCTGTACTTGGATTGGAGACCAAATGTCCCCACAATGTGATAAAAGCCTGTTATTTTGACATTGTGGGGACCATTTTTTTTGGCCCTCACAAGGGAAATTCAATTTTATAAAAATCTGTCTCTGCAATCAAAAAACTAAAAATGCCAAAAGACTTGTACAGATGTTCCTCAACTTACGAACTTTCAGACATACAAAGGAAGAGGACCGCAAGTTCAAATTGTGTTCATTGGGCTCCCGTTTCCTGTCCGCAACATCAATTTTTTTTTTCTGCTCGCCAATTCCGCCTAGTACGATTTTTGGATGCTACTCCCGCCACGAAGCAGCGTGCATCCTAGTTCTTTGTACTTACGTAATACCCTTAAAATGATGTTGCATAACGACTTACGAACATTTCAAGTTACGAAAGGCCATTCGGAACGTATCTTGTTCATAAGTAGAGAAGCGTCTGTATTTTGTTTGGTTCCTTATGGTTCAGGTTAGGGCTGGGTAGTGGTTAAGGTTGTCATTGTTGGGATTAGGGTTTTGCTCTTAGAAATGAATGGATGGTCCCCACAAAGATATGAGTACTGCTCTGTATTTGTGTGGGTGTGTGTTATATGTATAATATATATATATGAGTATATGCAAAATGTATTCCTTTATTACAAGGTTCCAAATTGAGTCCATCATACTAGAACAAGCCTGTCATTCAAAGTAATCTTGTTAGACTCCAGTAGTCACAGCCAGCTGAATGCTGCTTAAAACTTGTAAAAGTAAAAATATGCAGAAGGATTTTTTAGTGAGAAGAAAATAAATAAGAAAATTGCTTAGTTCTCCATAAACAGAATGACTGCTAAAAAGCTTCCATTCTTCTGCTTTTAGTATGCCTGGGATCTCTGAGTCCACCCTCACCCTCATCATCCAGTCTCCCAGGATCCTTCCATAATTACACTGTCACACTATTTTATTCATTCCCCCATAAGTTCACTTTTCATACGACATGGTTTCTAAGTAACATAATTCTTTTGCTCATTTTTCAAAATAAGCACTTCAGCAAGGTCATGCACAGCACACGTGTTTTCAAACAGTTTATGTTTATATATTACCTAAGACGTTTATGTCGCCAGTCCATGAGATCATTGATGAATCACATGGGGCACGGGATGCTGACTATGACTGGACAGCTCTGTAATATGTTTTTTTAGTTCCAAAACAAATGACTTTTGTTCGAATCCAATCAGAATAGGGCTGCCGCGATTAGCTGACGAAGTCGATGACGTGTTTTGTATACTGTGTAAAGTTTGATGGCGTACCACAGCCGCACGAGCACTATGCATGAGCACCTGGGCCACTAGAGTAGGCAAAACCATTGTACATTTTGTCTATTCATGTTTATTAAATTATCTTTAGTTCTAAGAGCTTTTTAATATATTTTGTCCTTGTAGTTGCTAAATACACTCTTTATTAAAGCCATAAAGTTGTCTGCCTGCTACGTTATAATTTCCACTGAATGTTTGAGAAAACATTTAGGCTAAAGTCTGGGCTTGACTGACGGTGCCGGCACGTTGGGCTTGTTGGGACTAGTTTTGTTATCGTAAGCTAAAACTGATATGAAAACGGACACTAAATAATTTGTGAACTGATATAAAAATGAAAACCGTATTCGCCCAAAAAACTGTGCCGGACTTTAATCTGAAAAAGCATCGCCACACCGCAACATATTTTAACCTAAGTTAATCACAATATCTCCTGTTTTAAAAGATGTAACGTTGTGGCTGCTAAACTGTCCCTGTCTTCACTAGGACTTTTGTGCTTATTGCTTCCATGGTACCATGGTTCCATGGCTCCGCTAACTGAATTTAATAATCATAAGGACACGCCGAATTGAAACAGATTGCAACCTTTTGGGTATCACAATACGCATCCCATTACCATTTTAGGCAGACAATCTGCTTATCGAATTGTGGGTGAAAATAAAGTCTGTATAGTGCCAAAAAGGCAGCGTCCGTTATCTAAAACCCTGCAGTCACATACAGGTTGTTGTTGTCAAAATAAAATTTATTTAAATTTAATGATCAAGTTGATTTTAAGGAGGAAAATTAATTGTTCGGATTAATCGACCAATCGGTAAAATAGTCGATAGATTATTCCATAGAAAAACGTTGTTAGTGGCAGTCCTAAATCACAATGTATAGCATTATCTTTTGGTTATTAGTCTCCTGCAAAATAATTGAATTAACAAAGATAAAATTGATTTTTGCAATTTTTTTGTAAGGATGAAAGAAGCCCGAAGTAGGTATTAGTCTGATTTTCCAATTGTAATATTCCACAAACTTTTTTTTCCCACTATATTACAAATGGCCTTAAGTCAGTGAGCTCCTTGTGCAAACAGTCGATCAGTGACTTCTGCTTGACCCAACGCTGCACAACTTGGCAGAATGACATCCAACAAGCAAAAGCAGTTTCTTCATCTATGGTTCAGCCATTTTCGCCATAGCAACCTCTCCTTTCCAGTTCAAAGGTCTAACCATGGGTAATTGCTTATGCTGAGTTATATCAAGGTATGGTGGAGAAGTCTACTGTATTATTGTCACACTGTCCTCCATATTTTCATCAATTTCTGGTACATATTGTAATATATGCATGAATTTAAAAATATTTTGGGGGGCACTGAGCTGAACTGCTCTGAAAATGTATTTAAAAATCAGCATGGATGCCACTTACCATTATTTAAAAAAATTCACACTGAAAATTCATTGCACACCAAGAAAAACCTGCAAACCCCTTTCAAACAGTAAACTGGTTTGATTGAAAGCTCTTTAGAAAACACCAAGTGGTAGACGATCAATAGAAAAATATCACCCATGCATCTCTGGTGTCCAACTCTCTAACAAAGGATAATCAAAACACCAACATTTCAAGGCACCTCTCTTTATATAGTACCAGACAATGATTGTTATTGTTTTTGATCCAAAAAAATCAAAGACAAAAAGTCTGAATGTGACCCAACTGATCTCTGTAGAAGAACATAAAAACAGCAGAGCTGTTATGATCATCACAACAACTTCGCTCCTCTGAAAGACCAAAGCAATGGCAACTTACGTTTTCAGGCAGGTTTAATCAGCAAATGATAACAGCATAGCGGGGTCATTAATCATGAGAGAGCCCGGTGACACGAAATGCATCACCCCAGATCTGAGGGTATCCTCCTGCTATTGTTCTTGCTGTTATTTTATACGACCAGACACTCGTAATTCATTATTATACGATGTAAACAAAGGCAGCATTGTGTTTCACGTTATATACAGCAGAATGTGGCGCATTTCATTTAAGTCTGCCAGAGCATAAACAAGCGATTACCATATTAAACGCACAGTTGGCCATCATGAGTAACTTATTAAGTTGGGGATGTTAACAGGTAACTGTACACGGCAAGTTAGGCGGTGCAGCCACGAACCTGTAATTTAGGGAACCGACGATAGCGTCGCTTTGAACAGGTAAATGTGATCCGCTGTAATTTGGCAGCTTCCTTTATTTTGATAAAGCGGCACAGGATCAGCGGAACAGCGGCTGTTTGTGCGAGTCGTCGCAGGTCAGCGGATAGCAAACATACAGTAAGGCACGGCTAGTCAGCTAAGCTAGAAAAAAAAAAAAATATATATATATATATATAACAGAAATGTCGTAGTTATTCAACATTAAATGCGGTCTGTGGAATGGGAACCCAACCGACAGATAAAAAGCAGCACACAGTTACTGTATGCATGCTTTACGCATTAACCGATTAGCTCCTGAACTACTTTGCATTCAGCCCGAATGGCTGCCTGCCTGGCTGGCAGATAAAAGCATTTAGCCATTTTAGAAAGCTGTATAGAAAAGGGAGCCAGCCTGGTTCGTGGCAAGCGGCCGGGCAGCGAACGGGGCTGCCGTTCTGAGGAGATGACAAGCCGCGGCTCGGTTTTCGCCTCCTTCGGAGACGCGGGCGGGACGAGCGGCCCGTCTGAGCGGAGGTTTAGCCAGGTAGCTCGGCTTCCAAGCCGGCTGAACAATAACAAGCTAGCCGAGGGGAAGGAGGGAGCCGACACTTATCCCCGGGAACAAAAGGGAAGCGCGTACGGTACCTTCAGCCCGGCTCCCATCAGAGACCCGCGGGAGGAAGTGAGACGTGGCGGTGCTGTTGCTGTTGCTGCTGTTGTTGTTGTTGTTTTTCCCACCTTTGTACCAGGAATCCCCGGGCTCGGGTAGACTGCTATGCCGCTTTTCCCTCTTCCGTTGGGACCACCCAGACCAGTGGCGGAGTCCGGAGGAGGGGGGGGGGGTTACATGCACATCATTCAGAGGCCTCTTCCCACCACTTATTTTTTCACCCCCTTTGTTTTCTTCTCACCTCCAAAAATAATAATAAAGGGTGCAGACGCGAGGTGTCAGTCAGCGCAGAGAGGTCCACAAACCCCCCAGCCTGCCCTCTCCCAGCTCTCTCTCCCTGTCCCTCCTTCACACACCGTCCCTTAGGTAGACGCACTTAAAACTAAACGCATCGCTGACACTTACACTATCCCGCGCAACTGTTTGCCCCTCCGTTTTTCAGTGACTAAATCCCGTCTCCCAGTTTATTTTCCCATGTTTTTGTTTCCATATTTTTTGTATACACAAGCTCGTTGTTCTTATTTTTTTCTTTTACAGAGAGACCGCCTCAAAATTGCATACACACTTACGCGCACACCCCCTCCCACATTTCTCCCCTTCACATCCCTCTCCGTATCCCCTCCCTTTCCCAATCATTCCTTTTAAAATACGTCTTAGATTATACCTCAACGCGTAACTTCTACGTTATATTGTAGGATTACATAAATATTTCAAAGATGACACATAACGATCTACAATAAATCTGTGAATAAACGTTTTAAATTGTAGTCTCAACATTTTTTCTGATACTAATAAAGTTGAATTAACTATTCAGATAAAAAACAGAATATGCATGAATAGAAATATCTCTGATGTGCACATTTTGAGTTGAAGGAACGAAGGTTATGTAAAAGGTTGTTCCCTATAGCTGAAAAAATATGCATAATTTTACTGCCATTATTGTTCCAGTTAAACTATTATCCATAATCTTGCATGTGCATATCAGCAAATTAAAGGGAGTCAGTCACAATTTAAGCAGCAGTTCCATAGAGTCCAGGCGGGCGTGCAGAATACAGATGTCATTTCCCTTTGTAAGAATATGAGCTCAAATATGTTTAGGTTACTTGAACAATGAATTCCAGTATCAGTGTGATTAGCAGAGATGCTGTATTTGGAGCATTTGACTTTTTCAGAAAAAAGTGGCGGAACTTTGCATTTACGGCTCCTCTGCTTTACTCTAAAAGTGACACAAACCCCTACAAATTGCACTGAATATTCGTCTCTGTTCTCACTTTGTGTTGTCCAAAGTAGTATATTCTGTCATTCCTATACAGACACAGAACTATTTTCATCATAGTTGCCGTGGCAACTGCATCACTTGAGACTTACATATGATCAACCTGGCCGTCATTCCCTTGCTTAATAACTCACTTTATATGATGTATTAAAAAAAAAAAAACAACAACAGTAGCCAGGTCTCCATTCAAAGCTAACCCCTACAATATCATAACCGAATGTAATATCTTTAGATTAGTCTCGCAAACCAATTTTCAGACAAGGGGGGAATAAGAAAGACAATGAAAGATGGAAGTGATGAGTGAAGTATAGTGTAGGTACACAGGCTCTGAGCGAAGCGAAGAAGCATGAATCGAAGTTTAGGGTAAGATTATGTCATATCGGGTGAAACGTAATGTGACAGATCTGAGGAGAAAGAATAGCCAATGAAATAAGCCCAGTGAGTGAATGGGGGGTGGGGGAGTCATGTCACTACGAAGTGCCTTTTGCCTGTTTACAAAATAAAGTTTTTAAAGCTTGTATTTCTTTGTCCATCATCTGTAACCACGTATCCAACTCCGGGTCAGGGTGGGCTTGGATCCAGTCCCAGGAAGAATAGGGCACAAGGCTGAGGACTCAGTGAACAGAAGGACAGGCCGGCACACAGAACAAGCTGCAGAACAAAAGCATGTTCAGTTCGGCACCAATTACAATTTCCGCTACGCATGCAATGACTGAAAGTGACAAAGGGCTGCTCATGATGCTCAAGCGTGCTTCAGATCCTTTTCAAGGTTTTCAAGTAATGTTTGTGGCTGTGGAAACATTTAACACCCCTGCCAGGTACCAGTGGACAACAATACGCATATTTACATGTAACATGAAACAGAAAGGGGGGCGGCACAGTGACCTCCAGGGTTGGGGTGTGCATGCTCTCCCGGGGCTGTATGAGTTTCCTCCCGGGTCTTTGGGTTCGTAAGGCTGACTGGTGTCTGGCAGTGTGTGTGCCGTGCCGCCTGGGACCGGCTACAGGCCCCTCTGCAACCCGGACCAGGAAAAATGCTGGGAAGATGGCTGTATGAAATCAAAGGTTCCTACTTGAGGTGTACTTTTCGGAGGGGACACTGAAAAAAGCTGCACACAGGAAAGAGAATCAAGTCACTGCCTGCAGTCATGCACATTCAGTTGAAAAATAAAATGTCTTTTGTTTATTTTATATTCAAAAGAATATAATGTTCAAGCATTAATAAAGATTTTTTTTTTTTTTTACCAAAAATTGGAATTGCTTGGAACATTGATTGGTTGTCATTCTAGGTGGAGGAGTGTGATGAATTAATTTTGGTTGTAATTAATTTATCTATTAAATCACACTTTTGAAAATAAACCCTTCTGGTATTCCAAAAAAGAACAGGGTGGAAGCAGGTATATTGATTAAGTTGGTTAAGTAGTTTTGCACATTTATGCAGAGGGAGAACAAACTAAACCGTAGAATAATTGGTCACATTTAAAGTGAAATTTAATGTTTTGACATTTTGGTTCTATATTACTTCCTTTTCTTTACTGATGAATTTTTGTTTTTTACGCCTTATCTGTTGCCTTCTTTCGAGTTCTCCGTCTGCGTGTACATCCCTCTTTTTCACAAGCAAGTAGAAGTTCTCTCTTGCTGTCATTGTATGTGGGACATGAAGCAGATAGAGCCATATGACATCATCACACAAACACACATCACTTCCATCCTTCTCCGATCTGTCGGCCCACACGCGGTTTTAGTCAGCTAACCAGCTAAGGTTCAGCGGCATATCAGCCAATTAGCAGGTGTTCGTTGTGCCTTGACTGGCATCCGTCCATCGCATCCTCCGTGCTCCCTGTGCTGTCCCTGCCTTTCCTGGGAATGGTTCCAAGCACGCCACTGCCTTGCACTTCATAAGCAAGTGATGGAAAATAGATGGATGGATGGATGGATGATATACTTTGAGATTTTGTATGACAAAAACAATATCTGTATCCATCTTCTAAATGTTTATTGTTGCCATAGATACCTGTCTGCTTGTTATTGTATCTGTTAGCATATGAGGTACTCATACTTCATACGCGTAAGTTATTGTGTCAGTACAAGGTTAGACTGGGAGCATGTGATGGTATACTGGTGTTAGAGACCAGTGCTCTCCCTCACACAGAGCATCAAGCCCAGTCCTACCACTGGCCACTCGCCAAGGAGTCTCAGACAGCCTGTGTCAGATCTCTACAGACCAGTCATATTAAAAGTCATTTCAGCGTATCTAACATACCTAACAAGTGCAGTGCAAATGTGACATTTAAAAGGGGCACATTTGGTTAAATGCATAAACATTTTCTGCATTGCATCTGCCTTCTGTGATTCGGAGTATATTGTCGTCAGTGTTATCGGTGTTCTTTGGTATGTCACGTATTCAGTTGTATTCTGTTTTTTCGGTTGATGTTAATTTGCTCGCTGACATAATGTGCTTGTTAAAAACTACATTTAATCCTTATTTTGTTGTTAATTTAGTATTTTAGTGTTTATGCTTGTTTTTGGATTTATTTGTTGATGTGTAATGTCATTACATTTTGCTTTTTGGTACCATTGTACAGACGAGCTTTATCTGATGTAATACATTGCCGGTATAGTCACATTTGAGGCTGGGTATTTACATTTAATTAGAGGTTCCATAACACTGATGATGAGTCAGAGATGGCATGGTGGTGCAGTGGTTAGTGCTGTTACTGTATGCCTCTGGGACCCGGGTTTGAGTCTCCGTGTGGAGTTTGCATTTTCTCCCCGTGTTGTTGTAGGGATTCATTCAGGTAATCTGGTTCCCCCCCCCACAGTCCAAAAAGTGCCAAATTGCCAATATGTGTCAGTGTTCCCTGCTTTGCACCCGTAGCCTCCTGGATAGGCTGTGGACCCCCCCACCCCCAAATAGATAAGTGATCAGAGAAAATTGGTGGATTATAAGCCATTCTGTGCTGTGGATATCTTAAAAATCTAGTAGAATGTTTGTCTAGATTTAAGAAATAGAAAGCTTTTTGCAATTACTATTTAAGATCTTCAGCCTGCGGCATCCACAAAGAAGGGTAATTTGTAAAACAGCAGTGTTATGCAATGATAATTGAGATTTATTGTGGGAAAAAAAAAACCTAATTCAAATTCCTTGGATGTTACTGGAAAGTAACTGGACAAGGTGGGCACGCATAACCTCCGAATGATGACAAATTAGCGTGTGCCTCAATGTGTTTGTCATGCATTTAATGATGAAATAATGTCACAACTATCACAAAATATAAACAAACATTCATGAATAGAACAATCAAAGAAAGTCTGTTGGGAAATGGACTGGCTCAGTATCAAACCAGGCTTTTATCAAAAAGAAGTCACTTAGGGTGACAGTGTGTTCCTTGCAGTATTTAACACCAGAGCAGTGATTTTCGTTTGTAATATTTTTTTTCTGGTTCATTTTGTGGCTGACTCATCTTTACTGCTTTTTTTAGTTTTTTTTTTTCCCTGTTGAATTTTGTTGCATTATTTCCCTCAGAATAAATGTGAGATTTTTTTTCTGCCTTCTGCATTATTCTCCCTTTCTTAGAGATATACAGACAGGCATGAAACGAAGAGTTCATGGAGATGAAGCAATGGGAATTTGGCAATTGCCATTTTAATTATAAACAGCTCTGGTCTTTGAATGAGGGGCAGCTTGCATGCACTAGTCCAATGGTCAACAGTCTCTCCGAGAAAACAGTCATTTACGTTTCGGAAAACAAACGGAGCCAATACTGACCTCATATTTAGCAACTTCACAAAAGCACAGAAAGTGGGAGCAGGATCAACATCTGGTTGCCAGTGAATAAAAACATGCTGGCTCTTCCAGCCCTGCCTCTTTTCTCCTTCTTTCACTCTCCTGCTGACCTGAAATCACATCACCACATTCTTCTACAGGAGGGAAAACTGCACCTGGACAGAAATGCATGTAAATGGAAAATCATTATATCGATTTAATTTAATTTTCTACTTCCGGATATGAATTATGCCTAAAAAGTAACACTGCATATCTTGACATTCTCAACCGTCTGCCAGTACGATTACGTCAATAAGATAGTAGAGTGCACATGTGGTGTATGAATTTTAACAGGCATTAACAGAACCACCTTCCAAGCAATAGTAGTGGCGACCAATAACCTGTCATTGAGAGGAGGAAGAAGGAAGGCAGAAAAAAAGCCCTGCAGAAGGAAGAAATGCAGAGAAAAGCAGACATCTGGTAACAGCTGGAGAGGGATAGGAAGGCTGAGGACGGGAAGCTGGGTGTCGGAGTCGACGCAGCGTTCGCTCACACGCCGTCTCTTCCCTCGGACGAGGCTGGGTCTCTGAGCGTGACCGCTGTCATCGGGCCGCATCGCATTACTGCTGCTGACAGCGCATGCAGAGTACGGTGCAGTGAAAACAAAA